AAAGAAAGAAAGAAAGAAAGAAAGAAAGAAAGAAAGAAAGAAAGAAAGAAAGAAAGAAAGAAAGAAAGAAAGAAAGAAAGAAAATGGAGGCGCTGGAAGGTTATATCTCATGTCAGATGACAAGGCAAAGTCATCATCTTGTGATTGCTTATGGAGGGCCCGACGTGGTAATGCAGGTGGGCAGGCTACACCTGGCGGTTCCCTCTGGCGGTTCCCCACCTGTGTGGGCACAGTCCCACCCGTGGGGAGCTGCTTTCCACAACAGATAAGTCACAACACACTGGCCCAGAAGTGAAGTGACTTGTCCCTGCAGGTGTGCAGAAGCAGAACCTGAGTTCATCCTCACTACTTCTGCCTAAGATCTTGCTACTGTAGATGTCCCCACAAAGAATAGAGGATCTGACCGCTTGTGAGCTATCAGCATCATGTGGAGAGAGTCAGAGGGAAGACTATAACAATTGCAGAAACAGGATGGCCTGCCAGTTCGGACAGCATCTTCTCCCAGGGTGCCTGGAGCCGAGAGCAGCACAGTAACAGACTGGGACTTAAAAGTTCTCACAGTTCTGGAAGCTGGAAGTCTAAGATCAAGGTGCCCGCAGTTTGATGTTTGGTGAGACTGCTCTTCTTGGCTCATGATACTTGTTGCTGCATTCTGACAATTTGAGAGGAAAAGAGAGAGAAAAGGAAATGTCTCTGAAGCACATGTCTCAGTGAATGAAGGTCTGAAGCCATCTGAAGCCCCGCTTGTATCCCCTTCAGGATGCCTGCCTTTCAAACCTGATTGTCCTATTTTTAAAATGGGTGCAGTTCTGAGACCTGTGTGGCAGCAGTGTGAGCTCAAACCTGACTGGCTCATTTTTAGAACTCTGCAGGTCTCAAAATCTGAATGGCGCAGACCAGATTCAAACCTTACCCAGGTGTTTTTGAAACAGTTCTGGCTAGAACCCCACCAGTTTTGCTGTATCTCTAATTGGGGAGCCATGGCGCCCCTTTAAGAACGAGGCCATGCAGACTAAGGGCCCATAGATAGCAACTGTGTTCCCAAAGAAGGAACTTCCCATGTCCACAGAGCTTTCCAGTCTTTCCTTCAAAGGGAAGCTGAGGCTTCACAACCAGATTTAAGCTCTTTATGAAAGGCCTTGACCAAGGTTCATCTTGCTCTGCACAAGCCTACCCTGACGAACAAGATGAATGAATAATACTGACTCTGGAGTTCTTCAGGTTCCATGGAAGGACCTGAACATGAAACGCCAAGACGTGGTCCCTACAGCCAAGGTAAAGATCTAGACTGGTGATCCCCCTGGGGGGAGAGAAACAGCTGTCCCGAGCTCTTGCCCCAGCTGGCACCCACTAGTCATTCCTGGAGGCCACTCAGCTTCCCCACCAATGTCTGTGGCCCCTCAACGTCTGAAGAAGCTTCTACCTTCAGGCACTCCTGGCTGAATAGAGCAACACTCAGCCCCACACAATGGAGCCCTGTGTATCAGACACCACACACACACACACACACACACACACACACACACACACACACACTCCACACAGCCACCTACACATGTAGCCCAAGTGAAGCAGAGAGCCCCCTTCTACCAGCTGTGAAGTGAAATCCTGCTTTGCTGGTAAGTTAGCAAAGACAGTGATTTTGAGTTAAGAATTTGTGATGTGACCTGGGCAAGGCCCTTCTCTGTGGTTTCCAGGGAGTGCCAGAGCCGAGGTAAAAGTTCTCCCATGGCCTGCGAAGCATTAGGCAGCTTTGCCCATGAAGTTGCTGCTTTTAGTGTCCAGGGTGCCCCCAGCAAGGAAGACCACTGTCACCTGCAGCAGGATGGCCGGTCTGACAATTTCCTTCCCTCCTCCCTGGTACAAGCTTCTTCCAGCCTGCTCTGTTGATGTCAACACAATGTTGTTATTATTAGTCATTAACAGCAACAGCCATGTGCCCGCCTCACCCCAGGTGGCACGGTGAGTGTGACGGGGTCAGGGGTTCTGCTCTTGCGCCCTCCTTTGCTGTATTATCCAGTAGGGTTTCAGATACCACCTCTCTTTAGAAGTTTCAACTTAAGGGAGCAGGTCTTTTAAAAACTAGACATCTTCCATGACTCGGAGGAAATAAATACTAGAAATTCTAATCTCACATGTGTACAGAATTCATCACATACAAGCAGAGACGGGAAACATCTGCATTGAGAAGGGAATGTGGGGAGCACGGCTCAAGGCCAGGGGAAAGAAGGAACCGAGACTAGTCCTCAGTAGAAAATGCTGCTGAAATAACCAAGGTTGTTGAATGAAGCATGTCCTTTTTCCTTCATATAAAGTAAAAAACTTCAAAGCAATACATACAGTATTCTTACATGTTAAAAATATGTCTAAAGATCAAAAGGTGCACCCACAAAACTCATTAATAGGTGTCCCCCTGGGAAAAGAGGGGGCAGACGAGAAGGAAAAGGGAATGAGGATTTCAACTTTGAGATGTTTTATTTCTGAAACAAACATGACAGCATTTTAACAAGTGTCAATTCTGTATGAATGACTTAGGTTATTTTTACAGTATTTTAATCTTTTTGAAATGGATGAAAATTACATAGAAGGAGGCTCTCACGTGGCGTATCAGGAAACCAGTGTTGCTGGGGCCGGAGCACCATGAGGCAGGGCCCTCCGCTACCAGGCCCTTTCACCTACGACCCCTTGGGAAGCAAGTGGGAAGACTGAGCCCTGGAAACAGGCTGTCATGCCTGGGTCTGCGTCTAGGGGAGGGCTGCGTGAGGTGACACGCATTTTCTTCCATTTTACTTCTTCTCCCCGGGCCCTGAAGAGAAGCCAAGAGCATTCAGGTTAAGTCAGCCTAAGACCAAGTTATTTGGGCTCCTACCCAGAGCCCAAAACTCACATGATGCTTGGAGCAGGCATCTTTAATCTTTTTAAACTGGGTCAACTGAGTGGCTTTTTGGTGGTGTCATTTTGGGCCATCTCTCTTTGGCTGGACATTTTGGGTGTTCCATTGGGAAAAGTATCATCCTTTCACTTCTCTATGTTCTGCACACTAATTCTAGTAAAGTTCTTTGCTATTGAAGGTAAAAAGCGGTTGAGGGCCTGTGGTTAAGCCCTTTGAGGCCCAAGCCAGAGTGTTGACGGGGCCATCTTTGTTGTGGTTGGAAACTGAGCCCCCGGGTCTGAGCTCTGCGCCAGTGGAGAGGAGGATTGTGTCTTGCCCTCTGGCCCCTCTGCTCCCAAGTTCACGGGCTCGGGGGGTAAGTGGCAGGACTGAGAGTCCTGTGACCAGGCCAGGCGTTATCCAGGGTGCTTCACAAACAAACTTTCTATTATATAATTGACTATCTCAAGAAGAGTCCTGAAAAATAGTGAGAAACAGCACTAAATTATCTGGGGTTAAATCAGTTTTGGTGATTTTCCCAAATACTTTCTGATCTCTCACTTCCTTTCCTGTTGGCAGTGAAACCCGGAGCAGACAGGCCCAGCTGCTTCCACTGTACCACTGAGGACATGGAGACACAGAAAGTGTCAGCTACTAGCTGTGAGTCTGCGGCAACATTGGGGTTCTAAACCCGCTAGATAATTGATGGGGTCCAGCCTGTGTTCCGCGTAGTAGATGTCAGTAGTACCCCAGGCATGATAGTTAAAACACGCTTGTCTGCAGGTATCTGCAGAACCGCTGCCCTCCAATACCAAGTCCACACCATTCTGACCGCAGGGCCTTACGCTGGCTATGCTGTGGGACTGTTGCGCATCATCAGCTTGTCTTGTCTTGAATGGCGTCTTCCCAGAGGCCGTCCCTTGTCACTGCAGCTAAAGTAGTAGTCACAGGATGCACACACAAGACACACAACACACTCGTGTCCCTCCATCTCTTTGGCTTTTGTCTTTTTCTCCTTTGCCTTCCCTTCCCTTCCCCCTGTTCTTTGGATGTTAGATGCCAGGTCAATAATTGTTCAAAACAAACGAAATGGACCCACCACCGCAGTCGGTTAGGACCAGCCAGCAGATGATTCTGTGCTGCAGTTACTGGGGACGCCCTGCTGGTGGGCTTTCGAGAGGCCAGTGACTGGCCTGCCCAGACTGCTGGAGTAGGCTGCTGGGTGGGGGCAACTTGGGCCCCAAGTGGAGCACAGAGATGGCCAGAGCCCAGCAGATTCCTGAAAGCCCTCCTGCCAGGACCACCCAGGGAGGGCTGGGGGAGATGGTAGATGGGCAGGGTAAAGCAGGGAGGAAGGGAGCATGCTGGCCAGGAAATACCCTGGCTGAGGGGGGAGGTAGAAAAGGGGGTGGCTGGAAGCTGAACATCTGAAGCTGGTGGGTGAGCGGAGGAGAGGATACAGAAGCTCGCTCCCAGCCTGAAGCCTGGGTTGGCACCAGCACAGCCAGAGCTGCTTCCCCCACGGTTTGGGTGGGAGGGGAAGTTGTGTTATTTCTCACCTTCCTGAGTACAAACACTCCATACCTCTAGCCACACAGTCTAGAAAGGGCCATCAGGAAGATGTCACTCCGGTGTGAATTCTTGTTTCCTTTATGGGGGAGACTGCAGTGTAGGATTGTGGTGGGGGGAGGGGGTGCAGCTGAGGTGGTTGCAGAAGGAACTCAAGCCAAGGGGATCCCCAGGAGCGCCATTGCCTATCTTGGTCTGGCAGCCACCCTGGTTGGGGGTGGTGTGGGTGGAATGTGAGGGCTGGTTTGCGGTTAGAAGCCTCCCGAATTCCTGGGGACACATTCTGAGTGATTGGGGGGTCCTTTTCCACCAACTGTTTTTGATTGATCTTCTCTTTTTCATCTCTTCTAAGACTTGTGGTTAAGTTCTCATGGATTCCTTCTGTAAAATCAGTAGCAGGTCCTGCAAGAGAAGGTTACCAGGACATCCTCATCATGGATTCTATGATTCCTTTACTTTTCTCTCTCCAGTCCTTCTTTCCCTTCCTGAAACTTTAAAACCTGTTTGATTGTTTCACCCCAAGTAGGAACTCCTGCCGTGCACATTTGTGTCCCAGGAAAATATCTGCCCCCTTGATCTTGTCTTTCTGGGGTCAGGAGCATCAAATCTGCAGATTGGGGTAGGTTTGGAACTGGGATGGTCACAGCAAAGCTTGCTGTGAAGTTCACACCAAGTTGGAAACGGAACAAGTCCACGGCCGCCCTGGTGGTAAAAGGGGCTAAGTCTCAGCACTGTGAAGCCCTCCGCAGCCCCTGCAGCACGAGCTCTATCCCCCAGCAGGCCAGGGAGCGGACCCAAACGGGCACAGCAGACCTCTCCTGTCTCACCCCTGCTCCCCTCAGAAGTGTGTTTCCGTAGAACCACCTGTTCTGCTCCCCACTCTGTCTCTGGTGAATCCTGTCACCTCCTACACCTCTGGGCCAACACCCCCTTTCTTGTATAAATAAAACAAACAAACAAATAATAGCAAGAAAATGGGACAAGTCCACATATTTCAGGTGGTGCCGTTTGCTGCAAAGCCTTGAAGCATGGGAAGAGTGCAGCATGCTTACCCGGGGCTCGCATTTTGGGCAGAAACCCCATCCTCACCCGCAGCTTCCCCTCGCCTCAGTACCACTGCTTGTTCTCACGCTCTCTCCTTCCCTAGGGCCTAGCACAGACCGGGCCTGGCAGCACAGCATACATACGGGATGCTGCCTAGGTGAACACAGCATACATACGGGATGCTGCCTAGGTGATGCTGCACCCAAAACCTTGGTGTCTGCCCCAGAGGAAATGAAGCAGTGGTATTTGGCCCTGGCCTCAGTCCACCCTCTGGGCTTTCTCTCCCCCAGCCACGGAGACCACTCCTGCTAGGAGAGGCCCTTGGCATCGCTGTGTCTCACCTGCAGTCCCAGCAGGTTGCTGGAGCTAAGGGATACAGGTCCAGGTTCAATCCCACATTCGTCACTGGCCAGTTGAATGGCAAGGGCCACGTCAGCTGACCTCTCCAAGTTACGCTAAAAGCTGGAGACACGGGCCCTCCCTGGTGGCCAGCGGGTTAAAGCACAGCACTAAGAAGCCAAAGCCACTTCAGCATGAGTTCGATCCCCAGCCAGGGAAGTGACCCACATAGCACAGCAGGTCTTTGTGACCGCTGCTCCCCTCAACAGTGTACTTCATCAGTAAGCCTGTCCTGCTCCCCACTCTGTCTCTGGTAAAACCTCTCACCACCCCTGTGTCTCTGGCCTGCACCCCAGATCTGTATGCATAAATAAATGAATCTTTTTAAAAAATGTTGAAAAAAAAAAAAAGCGATAGACACAAAGTCTTTGCTCTCAGAGACCTTATGTTCTGGTGAAGATCTAGATCTACACACAAATTAAAAAATAAGATTAATGCATGTTAAGACAGGTGTGACAAAGGAAATTAACAGGTTGGTGTAACAGAGTAATGGGAGACGGGTTTTTCCAAGGGTAGCTGCAGACAGCATCCTGTGGAGAGGATAGATGAAGCGAGAACTATGGATGAGAAAGCGTCCTGTGAAGAGCTGACAGAAGAGAACTGGGGAGTGGGCCCTGGGGAGGCACAGGGGAGGCGTGCTGTGTTAATAGGGAAGAAACCCGCGGGGCTACCGCAGTGGGTATGAGCAGAGCAGGAAGGGTGTGGTGAGAAGGGAGCCCTGGGCGAAACCAGCACTGACTCGGGGCTTGGAGGCCAGGGAGGGAGGCTGCCCTGCTCTTCAAGAGCAGTGTGGAATCATGAAGACTTTTCACCAGGGAGTGTGAATGTGCCACTTCAGAAGCTTAGGGTGAACAACAGATGGGAGAAAGACGATCTCAAGCTCCCGGTAAAAGGGGAGACCGCAGAGCAGGAGAGTCGTGAATCGAGGTGGCGCGTCTGCCAGCTGCACTCACAGTGGCCCTTGTCATCTGCTTCCTGACAGTCACGCCTGGCCCTGTGCCTTCCTGACCACACACGCCCAGGCTCGTCTCTCTGCAGCCCCACATGGCTCTGCCTGACCAGTTTTGCTCTTGGCTCCTGTTCGCCTGTGTCCTGGTCCTATAAAATAGTCAAACATTTCCGCTTTGTAAGTGAAGAATTCTCAGAAAGGTGAATTTTCGAGTCTAAATCTGTCCAGTGCTCTAGCCAACGCCTTATCTCTGCAATGTTGTCTAATAAGATGCTCAGCAGTGGGTAGCGGATGGACAAGAAGTAAGTCACAGCTGCCCCGGGGGTGGGCTGTGCGGAGAGCAGCGGAGTCTGTTGTCCAAAATGTTTCCCCTGCATATGGAGTGCTGTAGAGTTTTTCCCACATAGGACTTGAAGACCTGAACAAAGCAAGAGATAGATGACTTGGGGGGGGGGGTGAAGACACACCATCATTGTCGACTGTTAAATTAGCAAGCAGAGAGAGGAATGCCATACTCCTGAGTAGCACTCGGGATAAGGATGCAGGCAAGTTGTGTTTGGAAGGCAGTACATTAAGTTCTGGAAAATGTGCCAGAGAACAATAATAATAATATTGTAAACACCAGTGCTGACACCTGCTGTTTATTGTCTTCACTGTACAGACATACTCTATTGTAGCAAACCCAGCAACTTACAGCAGGTTCTCAGAAAGTTCACAAAATTATCTAATGAGGTAGATGTTACCACGTTTCCTTGATTCTATGAGAGCATCAATTTAATAAAATTTTTCACAGAAAGGATATGCCTTAAGCTTAACACAACGGTGTTTCATTGTATCATGATTTTGCTGATGGAATAGAATGTGTTTATTCATAATATAACCATTTTATTCTTCAGGATAACATTGCAAATTTGAATCCACGCCTTCATACTAAGAGGCTCCCTGTAGCTGTGCTCATGGCTCTCAGTCACCCACCTGGGACTTGGCGAACCCCTTTAGGATTGATAGTGTCATTTAGAGCACAAAAAGAATACGGTGTTCCTTCTGCATTTCCTATCTTATTAAACACGGAGCCCCTGCCTCTTAATTGGGTCATCTATCTTTTGACTGAGAAAGATGCCTCACAATGCCTCGCACAGCGTTTGTCGCCTAGCAGATGAGGTGTCTCCAGCCACGACTTCCAGCACTGCCTCTGTCCCTGTCTCTGCCTTTCACTGGCAACATTAGTGTTTTAAGTGCGGATTAAAAGATGCATTCCTGGGCTTTCCCTGGTGGCACAACGGGTTAAAGCACCGCATTATGAAGCTCTCCAAAGCCACTACGCATGAGTTTAATCCCCGCCAGGCGGCTGACCCACATGTCGTGGCAGACCTCTCTTGACCGCCCGCTGCTCCCCTCAGCGGTATACTTCAGCAATCTGCCTATCTTGCTCCCCACTCTGTCTCTGGTGAAACTTCTCACCCACCACACCTCTGACCTGTACCCCTGGTTCTGTAAGCATAAATAAAGAAATCTTAAAAAAAAAAAAAATGCATTCCTGGGCTTCCCTGATGGCATAGGGCTAAATCTCACTGCTATCATGCTGTTGCTGCAATGGCCTGAGGTTGATCCCCAGCCAGGGAGCTGACCCACATGGCGCAGGAGACCTCTCCTGTCTCATCTGCTGCTCCCCTCAGCAGTGTATTTCAGTCAATCTACCTGTTCTGCTCCCCACTCTGTCTCTGGGGAATCCTCCCTCACACAACCCCCATACACACCTCTGGCCTACACCCCAGTTATATGCAAAAATAAATAAATCTCTTAAAAAGAGGCATTCCTGATACTTCTTAAAAATGCCACATGTGTCCAAGAGGTAGTTTGCGCAACTGGGAGTTAAATCCAGTGACCAGTCCTCTCCTGGACCTTGTCTGAGCAGCTCTTGCCATCATCTTCGATGGCTTCCTCAGGTGTCCTGCATCTGTGTGGCTCTTCTCCACCTCTTCCCCTCGCCTCGCCTGCATGCATGACCCAGGCTTCTTGCTTAACTTCTTCAGTGACCTCAGCTAGTCTCACAGCTCGTTTCTTCCCCTAACAACTTCTTCATGGAAATCTGCAGCCCCCACAGCTTCCCAGCCATCCGCCTGCCTACTCCGTATCAATCCCTAGTTGTTGAATAGGCTTGGCGAACTTCCTGACTTTAACCAAACTCCTATTTTCCACCCCCACCTCCTCCAACCTGGCTCCTTGTGTATTCTTTTGCATCTCAGTAAATGGCAGCTTTCTTCTTCTAGGTGGTTGGATAAAAACATTCAGATCATCTTGCTGCCTCTCTTTCCCACTCCCTGCATCTGAGCATTTAATGAATCCTATCAGTTTGGCCCTAAAATTACAATGAAAATGCGATCCCTAGCTATTCCCACGTTAGTCACTCACTAAGCAACTGGTGCCCACTTGCACCCGGACCCCTCAACAGCCGCAGGTCCACCCAGCAGCCAGAGCCCCACCACCACCTCCCCACCCCCGACCTGTCTCAGATCAGGCTATCCGCTGCTCAGAGCCAGGGCTGCTCCCTCATTCGGAGTGAACACCAAGGCGCCTATGGTCCACCAGGCTGGTGCGCTCCGTGACCTGGGCTCTCTGAGTGCTGCTGCTTCCTCTTCTCCAGCCAGCCTGCTTCCTTGCTGGGCTCACATATGCCAAGAGCATGTCACTCCAGAGGCTCAGAGCTTTTGCCCTTGTACTTCTGAGCATTTTCCTTGGCTCCCACATTCCCACATGGCTTTTCCACCTCATTGTCTTGAGGCCTCTTCACATGACACCCTAGTAGCGTTCTCCCTTGTCTAAAACGACACCTCCCAGAATCCCAGCCCATTCACTCTGCTCTACTGTCCCCATAGCACATATGGCCCTGGAGTAGTGTCCACTGAGTTGGTTTTGGCCTGTCCACAGCACACTAACCATAAGTCCACTAAGTGCAGCCCTTTCGGCACTGTTTCCAGGGCGTAGCGTAGTCTCTCAGTGAAGGTCTATCGAGCTAGCAGACAGAGGAAGAATGAATGACAGGCCCTGGTAACCAGGCAGGACCGAGCTTCTGACACGCGTTTCCCGCTGCCCAGGTCCGCCAGTCAGAAGGGCTCCTGGGAGTGCCAGAGCTGGCACAGCGGCGGGCCCCATGTAGGCTGACGTCTGTCTTTTGCTCCTTCCAGGTCTACGGTTCTCCCAGGCTTTGTGAGGCCTTTGCTATGACTGCAGTCTCTCTTGGAGCCAGGCCTGCCTCTTGCTGCCACAGTCACACCAGGTGCCTGCTCTGCCCTGCTTGCCTTTGACCCCGAGTCACCATGGGCAGTGTGAGTAGCCTCATCTCTGGCCACAGCTTCCACAGCAAGCACTGCCGGGCTTCCCAGTACAAGCTGCGCAAGTCCTCTCACCTCAAGAAGCTCAACCGGTATTCCGATGGGCTGCTGAGGTTTGGCTTCTCCCAGGACTCAGGTCATGGCAAATCCAGCTCCAAGATGGGCAAGAGTGAAGACTTCTTCTACATCAAGGTCAGCCAGAAGGCCCGGGGCTCCCACCACCCAGATTACACTGTATTGTCCAGTGGGGACATGGGGGGCCCGCCCGGGCTGGACTTTGGCCCATCCACCCCACCCAAGCTCATTCCCTTCTCCAATCAGCTAGAAATGGTAAGTGGCGGGCGGGGAGCTCTGTTAAAGGTGGTTGGGGTAGAGAAGCAGGAGAGAGCAGAAGTGGGTGGGGAGGCCGGGTGGGGATGGCCAGTGGTCTGGACACTTGGTGGTCTGGACATTCGGATCTGCAGGGGACCAGAGTAGCAGCAGTAAGGGCAGAAGGGTTGTGTCCCCTCCAGGACTGGGGTGTGGATGAGGGAACTGAAGCCCCAGAGGACCTGACCCAGAGGGCCTGGGTGAGCCCTTATGCAAAACACACAGGGAAGTGCAAGCCTCTGAGCTCCACTGGGCTGACTCTGACTGGGCAGGCGGGGCCACAGCAACATTTGCAGATACATGGGGAGAGGAGAGCTAGCAGCCTCCTTTCCGCACGGACTTGGGCCTTGCCTGAGAGTCTTCAGACTACACGAGGACTTTGAGTTCGATGTCACAGTTCAGCAGGGATGGGGGCAAGAGTCCTGTGTGCGCAGAGATTCAGCCCTCACGCCCACCCCAACCCTTGTGGGTCCACCATGAAACCAATTTTCCTTTTCAGTCCCTGGCCCCATGCTGAGGGCATGAGTCCACAACTGTGACATATTCGAAACAATCTCCCTGTTTGCAGAGATCTTTAAGCTTTTCAAACTAAAGCACTTTAAATGGGCAAAGTACTCACCCACGAAAATGACAATTTTGGAAAAACATTGTCATTTTAAGTGACACACACAGCCCTGCGAGAAGGCCCTGGGCAGCATCCTCACTCCTGGGCTGCTGGACACAGGCAGTGACGGTGCAAAGGGGTTCTTCTGCCAGGAAGCCATGCATGTCCAGCTGCAGGCCCTTACCCAACACCCAGAGGTGGACCCCAACACAGCGATCACTGAAAACGCTGCTGCTTGTTCAGGAGGGCTGGGATGAGCTGGTGACAGGTTGGTGACTGTGGGCCACAGCGCCGTGGTGAGCATTAAGGCCACCCTCTGGTGCAGAAGCATTTTGCCGCATCCACTGTTTCAGAGCCACAGGCAGGTTGCCAAGAAGGGGGGCCCTGGAGCCAGCGCACACGCCTGGGAGGAGGGGAGCCGGCAGGGTGGGGGGCTGCCGGGGGAGACACGGGGCCAATGGTTCTTTTTCCCCAGGGCTCAGAGAAGGGTGTGGTAAGACCCACAGCTTTCAAGCCCGTGCTGCCCCGGTCAGGAACCATCCTCCACTCATCCCCAGAGAGCGCCAGCCACCAGCTGCACCCCGTCCCGCCAGAGAAGCCCAAGGAGCAGGAGCTGAGGCCTGGCCTGTGCTCCGGGGCGCTGTCTGACTCAGGCAGGAACTCCATGTCCAGCCTGCCCACACACAGCACTAGTAGCAGCTACCAGCTGGACCCACTGGTCACCCCCGTGGGGCCCACCAGCCGTTTCGGAGGCTCCGCCCACAACATCACGCAGGGCGTGCTCCTCCAGGACAGCAACATGATGAGCCTGAAGGCTCTGTCCTTCTCTGATGGGGGCAGCAAGCTGGCCCACCCGGGCAAAGTGGACAAGGGCCCCTCGTGCGTCCGCTCCCCCATCTCCACTGATGAGTGCACCATCCAGGAGCTGGAGCAGAAGCTGCTGGAGCGGGAGGGCGAGCTGCAGAAGCTGCAGCGCAGCTTCGAGGAGAAGGAGCTGGCCTGCAGCCAGGTCTACGACGAGCGGCAGAGGCGCTGCGAGGAGCGGGACGGCCTGGAGCAGAAGAGCGGCGGCAGGCGGAAGCCCGCCTCCCAGAAGAGCCAGCGCACGCAGCAGGTGCTGCACCTGCAGGTGCTGCAGCTCCAGCAGGAGAAGCGGCAGCTCAGACAGGAGCTCGAGAGCCTCATGAAGGAGCAGGACCTGCTGGAGACCAAGCTCAGGTCCTACGAGAAGGAGAAGACCAGCTTCGCACCCACGCTGGAGGAGACGCAGTGGGAGGTGAGGCCGATGGGGTGGACGGGACCACTCAGGGTGTGGTGCCAGCGCACCTCACCCAGGCTCTTGCCTATGGGGCATGGATGCAAATTGCCCAGGCAAACTGGGCTAAAGTGCCAGCTTTCCTGACCCCGAGAAGGGGGGCCCTGCTCAGGCATATTGGAGGAGGTGCGCTTAGTCTAAGCTGGGTATATATTGGGTGAGATCAGAAGGTGTGAACACAAGCATGAATGACAGGAATTTGGCAGACTTGGAAAGGGAGAGCATTAGAGTTACATGTGGGTAACAGAGCTGCCGGCCGTGGCAGATAAACCCCCGGTCTCTGACTTATAGTCGTGGGTGTGTGCACAGAATTGGGAATTTAAAGTGAGGCAGGTGTGTGGAGAGCCCAAACCAGACTGCAGATAGAAGGAGCCTCAGAGAGAGTTGATCTGCTCAGATGACCACCTATGGGAACTCATGCAAGACCCAGGTCACGCCAACCTAATTCTTTGAGGCAGTTAGGATGTCTCTTCTAGGTGTGGACCTCACGCTCTGCCACTCTCCTGTCCCCCACTATCTTGACAGGTGTGCCAGAAATCAGGGGAGATCTCTCTCCTGAAGCAGCAACTGAAGGAGTCCCAGATGGAAGTCAATGCCAAGGCCAGTGAGATCCTCAGCCTGAAGGCACAGCTGAAGGACACAAGGGCCAAGCTGGAGGGCCTGGAGCTGAAGACGCAGGACTTGGAGAGCGCGCTGCGTACCAAGGGCCTCGAGCTGGAGGTCTGCGAGAATGAGCTGCAGCGCAAGAAGAACGAGTCCGAGCTCCTGAGGGAGAAGGTGAACCTGCTGGAGCAAGAGCTGCTGGAGCTGCGGGCCCAGGCCAGCCTGCAGCGGGACAGGGATGGCACGGGCCTGGGGCCTGCCTTCTCGGAGGACATCCCCGCCCTGCAGCGGGAGCTGGAGCGCCTGCGCACGGAGCTGAAGGAGGAGCGACAAGGCCACGACCAGATGTCCTCAGGGTTCCAGCACGAGCGGCTGGTGTGGAAGGAGGAGAAAGAGAAGGTGATCCAGTACCAGAAGCAGCTACAGCAGAGTTATCTCGCCATGTACCAGCGGAACCAGCGTCTCGAAAAGGCCCTTCAGCAAATGGCCCATGGGGATGGTGCAGGGGAGCCTTTCGAGATTGACCTTGAAGGGGCTGACATCCCCTATGAGGACATCATTGCCACAGAGATCTGAAGGGCCTCCCGAGACAGGGAGAGACAGGAACCTGGTATTAGGTGGCAGGGGTGCTGAGCCCTCCCCATACTCCTGCTCAGTAACCTGGGCCCTTGGAGAGATGCCCTCCACCCCAGGGCGAAGGAAGCAGTGGAGCAGCTATGTGCCCCTCCCCCGCCCCCTTGCTGATCTCCAGAGCTTCCGGCCCTGCAGTCCCCCAGAGCGCAGGCGCTGACTCCAGTTTTCTGAGAGGTGAGCCCAGGGAGCCTCATCGTTTGGTGAGATGCTCCCTAAACCTTGGCTTTCATTCAGAACACAGAGATGCCCTCTCCAGGCTTGGTACCGTGAAGCCATGGCTGCCCTGAGGACAGAAACCCCACGTGTCTCCTCCCGCACCCCTGTCTGTCTGGGCTGCTCAGAGACGCCTTGGAATAGAAGGAAACCACCAAGACAAGAGTGAGAAGAGTCTTGGGACCTGACCCAGTCACCATTCTCCTGAGCTGTTTGCCTCTGGCTGTGGGGGGCTTGGGGTGGGTATGGAAAGCATAGCTCAGCAAATCAGACTTGTCAGACCCTGGAACACCAAAAATCAAGGGGGACACCGGGCAGCCCAGGCATCTAGATCGTGTGAGACCCAGCGGGACCTCAGGGAGACCCCAGGGGGTGATGGCCCCACAAGCTGGAGGTGACCAGGCTCTGGTGGCTGCTGGCCTTCCCCTCAGTGACCACCTGTCAAAGCCATGGACGACGAGGCACTGGGGTGGTGCTGGGAAGGGAAGGTTGAAGCCACCTGGCACAGGGAGACATGACTGCCCATTGTCCCGGGAAGCACCTCCTGATCTTGCTCTTAGGGCCAGAGTAGGGGTTTCCCTACCTGACTCCAGCTGGCCAATGGCTGCTGTAAACTGTTTTTGCAGAATAACTTCAGCCCTTTAGGACATGCAGGGGTGCGTGGCCTCTCCCTTCCGCTGCCTGGGGTCTCTCAGTGGCACAGCGGCGTCTCCAGGGCTGAGTTAGTCAACGGCATAGGTCCGGGGCTTCCAGCCCCTGGACAGGCAGAGCAGGAAGCTCAAGCACAGGCTCTGAACAGCCCGTGGCCCATGGCTACCTCTTCATCCTCTCCTGAGCCCCTTTGAGAAGAATCTGGGGCACTGCAGCCCCAGGGCCCAGCAGCTCCCAAGGAGGGCTCCTCTCTGAAGACGTGCAGAAGGAAGAGGAGTTGCTTGGTTCAGGGAGTTTTTTTTTCTGTCTTGTCTTTTGAGAAGCCAGCCAGATCTCGCAGGCAGCCAGGCTGTTTCATGTTCTATTTTTGCTCTACCACAGCTGCCGTTCTTAGGACAGCCAGCCCTTGCTGGATTCCCGAGCTTCGTGCCGCATGCTGAGAGTGGAATGGTGAGGTGGGAGGGGCAAAAACTCTGGAAACTCAGCATGTGGAGGACCGAAAGGATTCTGCCTCCAGACCAGCCACCTGTCCTTGTAGGAATCTGGCGTAGGAGCAGCGAGCTGCTTCACGTCCGTCTTCTCCTGCCCATGTCCCAGCGGCCCACCACATTCCTTCCTGAGCCTCGGCTGAGGGCAAGACCAGCTTCCCTTGTGGTTGTCTTGGTTTTCTGCTGCCTTCACAGGACAGAGGTGGTGTTCTGGAATTCAGGCCATTGCTTCGTGATCAGCTAGATTTGTACCTGAAATCAATAGACCAAAAGTCCTTCACCTCCTGGAGGGCACCGCCCCCCCCATGGGCACAGTACTGACCCCCCAAGTCAAAGATGCCCCTTGTGCCACATTCCTTGTGCCACGGCCCCCGGCTCCTCCATTTCCACCAGTCTGTGCCTTGTTGAAGTCCTTTCTCACAGTGAACCTGCCCATGGGGTAGCAAAAGGGGCTCCCCCATCTGGAGACACCCTGCCAACATCCTCCCTCCTGAAGGGCAGCCAGAGTCTCAGCCCTCAGCCTGCAAGACCTCCCCTGAGATTCTCGAGGCAGTGTTAAGCCCAGGGGAGGGAGCTCCCGAACACAACCTGGGACTCACCTCAGTGTGACCATGCTGTGTACTCCCACATCCCCATGGCCCTGAGCCAGATCACCCCACAGAACCCCCCGACTGCCACCAGCCCAAGGCCTAGGTAGCCGGGGGTGATGTCAGAGTGCAGCATTATCCCATGACATAGTGATTTGCCACCATGTGGTTTTTCTCCCCTTCCCTGTGGAAAAGCTTCCTTACTGTGCCTGGGCGAGACCAAGCCCAGGGTCACTAGAAGAAGGCACTGAAGAGCGAGGTCACCTCAGAGCAGGCAGGCGGGGGGCCAACATGAGCTCTCTACCCCTCTGCCAGGCCCACTCTACTCCCCCAAGGGGATCTGTCCCAGAATGCTCCAGCTATCTGCAGACCAGTGTCTGGTCAGCAAGAGGGGACTCTGCTCTGGGCCTTGGGATGACCAGACCTTCGCAGGAGATCTGCAGGTATCTCGCTACTGACTTTGGGCCCTCTGAGTGAACTGGGGCCAGACTCACTAGCCCCCATGGCATTGAGCTCTGTGGGGACCAGGGGGTGCTCTCTCCCCAGAAAAGGGCTCCTGGAGCCCTGGCCCCTGCCAAGACTCTTGTCTCTGCCCAGGGCTAAGCCAGGTGGGGAGTCTGGGAGCAGCAGCTGTGGGAGAGGCTTCCTGTGGGCCCTGGTTCCTGAGTGGGTGCTGCCATGCAGGAGGCCACAGCCCTGCTCACTGGACACTCCTTGCCCTGTGTGGTCAGCCTTGGCAGGGCTGGAGCCGGTCGGGGCTGGCTTGAATTGTATATATGGTTTTTCCTCTCGGTTGTTTCTTGTTCGGTTTGCTTCACTTTTGACAGCTTTGTTTTATGTTTTGATGCCCCTTTTTGGCCATGTAAACTATTTCTGGTAATTTTATGTTTTTATTTATGAATAAAGAATGCCATTTCTCTTGTTGTTTTTAGTTACATTTGTCTACCCAAGCTACCCTCCGAGCCTGGCAGCCTGGCAGCAACAAGAAAAGCCATGTCTCTGCCCACAGCAAAGGAGCTGGGGACCGCCTCTCTGAGGGCATTGCTGGCAGGAAGGCATGGGCCTTGGCACCAGGTAGACTTCAAGCTGGTCCCTGCCTCTCACCAACCCCGTGACCGCCTCTGTAAATGGACCCTGGGCTAGCCCTGAGGAGAGTGAAAAGGGGAGCAAGAAGCATGGCTGTCTACAAAGGCACAGCCCGCCCCCACCCCAGCGCAGGCCTGGCTCCCGCAGCTGCTCACCTCCCAGCCCGCTCCTGGGCCACCTGGCAGGGGCCCAGAGTGCCTATTGTGGCCTCTACCCTGGGGCTCCCAGCTGGGAAGGTGCCGTTACGACAGTGGCCATCTGGCCAGCCTTCTCAGTGCCAGCCTGCCTTGTTCACCTTGACAAGCATCCCCTACTGCTCTGGGCTCAAATTCCAGGCTCAGAGGGTTTCTACACAGATGGCAGGAGACAGAAGGAATGTGTAAAGAGGAAATTGGAACACAGGGCAGCCCTGGAACACATGACAATACTTCCAGGGTGGGAAAGCACAGGCTGGGGTGACAGGAAGGGAGGGATAGGACATAAGAGGGGTGAGGAAGGAGGGACAGACAAACTACAGCCCCGGGCAGGCCTCTGCCCCAGCAGACCCTGGCTCCCCACCTGTCTGTGCAGGGTCAGGGTGGCACAAGAAACTGGAGAGCCGGGAAGACCCAGGAGTGCAGGAGCTCAGAGTCCCCTGAAGGTCAGCTGTGGCGTGACTGAGCCGGGACAGGAGAACATACCTGTGTGACTCCCAGGTCCCAGCTTTGGGGCAGAGGGTGGCTTTTTGCTGGTCTTCCTAGGGCTGACACAGCGGGGACTCACTCACGAGCCAAATTTGGTGGCAGCGACACACCACCAGTTCCAGCCACACTTAGAAGTGTTGGCAGTTTCCAGCTTTGTACTTCTGGGTCCTCTTAGCCACCATGTAAGAAGCCCCCCTATCTGCTGGGGAGACTCTAAGGAGCCAGAGCCTCTTGCCAGGCTCTCACTGGGAGTGGCCAACAAATGATCTGAAGCCAGCCCTGCACGAAGCAGTCTTGTCTCTGACTTGTCCTTCCAGAATCCTGATCCAAGAGCCATGAGATCAGTAAGCCCCTGAGTCAGGGTGACTTAAGTGGCATAGAAATAAGTAATTAAAATGCCCCCCAGCGACACCCTTACTTGCCACTCCATTAGGCCTTTCCTCAGCTAAGAGCTGGGAATCAAGGAGCTGGGAGAAGGAGACGGCCATAAAGCCACAGACAACACCCGGCCGCCCCAATTCCTGTGAGTACTGCCTGGGATGCAAGCCTTGGAGCCCCCAAAGCTACTTTAATTTTAGGGAAAAAAAAATACCAAAAGGAGAAATGAGTGTAACGTGTGAGAGAGACTTCTTTCCTTGAGAAGAGGTAGCTGGAGCTCTGGCACCCCCGGAACCCGGTCTCGGGGTGTCTCACTAGGCTACAGACGCACTGTCACACCTGTGAGGCAGCACAGACCACCCATCATCCCAACCAGCCTCTGCTTTCAGTGCTGAGTTATGCGAGGAGGGTAGGGCCACCCCCAAATTTCTCTGAAACTTGGTCACATCCATCACACATGCTTGGACTCATCCAGCAGATATTGGTTGAGCTCCGACTTGCTAAATATTGGAAAGACAGAGGTGAACAACAGCCAGTGTCCTTTCTCCTTAAGGAGCTCACGTTCTGGAAGTAAACAATGAACTGATCATTCCCATTATTTTAAGTGTGGCAAGCGAGATCGGACAAGGCGACAGCTATGCAGGGCGCTGTTGTGTCTCTGGAGGTTGGGGAGCGGGTGGGTGCAGGGAGTCCTGGAGGGCTAGTGACCCCCTTATGTCCATATTTTGGGAGACTTTGCCAATTTTCCTTCCTAACTTGGATCCCCACACTGCATTAGCATACGGCCTCCTCTCAGGCCTCAGCAGACCTGTGCCCAAGGGCTCTCCAGCCTGGCCTCACTCTCCTCAGAAACGAGCATCACTTCCGCTTCCTGGCGAAGACCGGTGGAAAGTCTTAAGTGTCAGATGTGTTTTTCCCACATGTAAAACTGACAGTCAGAATGGGGGATGGGATCAATAACGGTGGGGGGAGGGAAGTGCACTGGACTATGGTGATGGCACACGGGTGATTTGGTGATGGGAAGCCCACGGGGATTACAACTGAGATGGAAAAAGGCACAAAATTATGTAAAAATAAACTATTATATTATTTAAAAAAACAAAACTGACACTAAATTGATGAAATGGCCCAATCCTGACACAGATGCTCAGGTTAAAATAGCCCCCTCCTATGCAAGTGAGTTGAGAAATGGTCAGCTTCAAGGAATGCATTCACATACACATTTTTTTATGTTTGTGTTGGCAGAGAGGGTCTCTTTGGCTGAAGTTTATTCAGCCTACTGCACAATCCAGACCGTTTCCTCAGGATCTCGCTAGTGCCTTCATGTCTGCCTGCAGTGTGGAGCCATCACAGAACCCCACCTTTCCACCGTCCTCCCTGTCCAGTCAGATCTGAGAACCTGTGGAGGCTACTCCTTGAAGCCCTCGCTGCCATTCTCTTTTCTCCTCCCGTTGGCTCTGCCGAGGTCATCAGAAGGACCCTAGGATGCCCCAGACATCTAACCAACCACCTCACCTCACAGATAGAGGTTCAGAGACAAGAGGATGCAATCAGGGAACAACAGACCCACCCCCTCACCAACCTTGGTACCTGCAGGATGGGGCATGTTCCCTAAAGCATCAGTGATTTTTCCTATAAATTCAATAAACGGCCTTTATGAGAAAATCCGTGCCTGCCCTGAGATGCTGGTTGGCAGTGTGGCAAGGGGCCAGGTGTCTCACCTGAGAAAGCGAGCCGAGGCCCTCCAGGTCCACACTGCTAAGCTGTGTGATTTTGGCTAAGTTACCTGACCTCCCTGTGCTTCAGAGGGGTGTTTTGACAATTAAGTGAGATAATATCCAGTAGAAGTTAGCAACCGTGTGCTCCTACTTTACGACTACCCTCCTAACTCATTCTCCCCCACCCCATCACTACTGTCTGTTCGCAGACAGTCACTGCTTCAAGCTGTGCTGAGTGACCGGTGTCCCCTGGTTGCAGCTGACTGTTCTGGGCAGCTGTCTCCCGCCACTCCCAGCTTTTTCTCCCGGGCTCTGAACTCCAGAAGGCTGGTTTGTGGGGGCACACCCTTGAGAGAGAGGGCGCAGCTGTGGGAAGAAAGGAACAAAGAGGGATTTGCCAGGGGGTGTGGCGGAGCAGGCCCGGGAGGAACCTGCCTATGACAGTGACCAAAACCCAGTGCCAAAGGGGAGTCAGTTAGAATCCCATTCGGCACCTCCCTCACACGGCCGCGGCCGGCCTCGCTGCTCCCCTCCTGCCTCAGCCCTGCCGCACGGCACCAGCCCAAGCAGGCACGCACGCACTCACACACATACACATGTGCACACACGGTTCCCACCACATTCTCCCTTCTGCTCCAGCCCCCCTCCCTCCTCAATTAAGGCTAATTGAGCTGTAAGGAGGCTCACGGCAACTTGTGTAATCGGCGACAGGTGAGCAAATTAAATTCTTCAGACCAAAAATAAGACATATTTGCTTGCCCCTATCCATCACCAGAGCCACTCTCAGGTTTCTGGGACCAAGATCGCCACCATGCACACACAGCCCAGAGCTGGAGGCCCAAGCTTCCCTTTGCTTCCAGGCAGGAAGACAAGGGCATTGCAGAACAGGCCAGGATGGGGACTCAGGGGCTGCCCACACCCAGCTAGGTGCCCACGATCTCTGGGCTGGGGGCTGCAGGACCTGCCACACTTGGTTCTTGCATTCAGTCCTCATTTTGCATATGACCCAACTGCGGCCAGCGAGGCCATGTCCTCAGCTGCTGAGTGAGTCGCGAGTTGCAGTTTCAAGCCTGAGGTAGCCACAGCACAAGCCTGACACCCTTTCTACAGCTCCCACCCCCTGCCCCCCACGGCCATGAAAGGTTGTACTCTGAGGTCCCGACCCTGCCAGACCCAGAGGAGCTAGCTCTGCCTCATCCTCACGCAGCCTGAAATTCCACCCTTACAGTTGCATGCCTCTGGGTTGAGCTTTCAGAAGTGTGAGACTTGGGAAGGATGACCCTTGAGGAAGGGGATTGGTTTCTGAAGCATCTTCCAATATGCAGAAAAACAGGGTTACAGAGGGACGGGTGGGGGAAGCAAGAAGGGGTGAGTAGACAAACATGAACGTGCCCATTTGTGCCAGGCCACCCTCTGCGCTCCCCACTGCCTGGCACACGCCCCTGCCCTCCTAGGCCGCTGCCTCCAGCAGGTGGGTAGCTCAGTACCGGGGAGTCCTGGTGCCCTGCGTGGCTCTTTCAGGCTTTCCATGATCTTTCTACACCCTTTGTAGCGAGGCAAGTGGGTGCAGGACAGGCATGGGCCGGGGAGCTGGTGGGCTTCCTAGCCCGCAGATCTTCCCTCTTTCCTGGTCTCTCAGGCCTCCTCTCGTGGTCTCCTCGCTGGTCTCTGCTGCATTCTGTTCTCCGAGCCGCCGCCACCCTTATATGCTCAGCCTGCAGGCTCAGGTGGGCCCACTCCCTAGGCCGGGCCCACACGCCAGGGGGCCGGATTAAGCCCACAGGTGTCTATCACTGATGCTAACAGCAGAAGAGCAGAAAAGCTGATTGCCTCCATGTACCCCACAGCCACCTACCCAGAGGTCACCCTGGAAGAACCTCGGGGCCCCCTTGCCACACCCTGCAGGTCCAGGCAGAGCGCCCCAGAGGACTACACCCACCCGGGGAGGGTCTGAGCCCCCGTGCTGGCCTCCAACTCCTCCAGCGCCCCGCACCAGCTTCTGTGTGCTGCTGCCCCTGGGAAAGAAAATGCTTTCCAG